GCTGTGATCATCTCCATGGCGGATATGTCTTCGTTAATATCATTTCCATCAGGTAGGTAAGCCGATACAAGCGTAAAAGTAACGTTACTCCACCTGATGAAGCAAGCGACATTATCCGGCGTGGTGTACTGCCTCAGATCCATCACATCGAGGTTTGGGTTATTGACCACTATGGCAGCCCTGGGCCTCCTCTCTCCACTGCTCAGGGCGATAACCCTCGTTGCGAGGCCGAACCCCGTGACCATGTTCCCACGGCAGCATGGTTCTTGGACCGCCATGACGTCGAATCGCTGGGAGAGAGATCGAAGTTCATCTGCCACGATGCGTCGGCGGCCCATATTCAGTTGGAGGATGGTGATTCTATTCATAAAAAGTCTTTTTTGCCACCTCCTTGGCCCACTTTAAGTGCACAGGGCATTCACGACTGCCTGCCTTATGCTTCCGTTGGCTAGATGGGACATTGGCCCGCTCGCAGTTTATACAGGTCGGACCAGTCAACTCTTTTTTTTGGGGGCAGTCCTTAAGCATGTGGCCAATAGTTGCACACCAGATACAGACTACGCCATCTACTGGGCAAGTTGCTTTAGTATGACCGTAGCCCTGACACTTAGTGCACCGTGGAGCGTCGATGTAGTCTTTAAAGGACATCGACCACCATCCTCCATCTAAGCTGGCTGTCTCTAAGAGTATAAATCTAACCATTGGATGAACTTCGATCACCCAATTCTTAGTAAAACCATTCCTTGCTATTGAAGAGAAAAGAGGCCGAATGTCATCAGGAACAAGTGTTGTGGCGCCCGATTTTTCAGATATTCTTCCCCATAGAAATTCCAACAGCTGCATAGATGTCCAGCTTTGAGGCACACCTTTTACTTCCATCTTGGGCTTCTTCTTCATGAAGTCCTTTTTCACGCAGCCCCTGCCACCCGATTACTTTGGTGGCTTCGGACCTATCATCCATGCGAACCAAGACAGAGCCTGCCTTTGTCGCTCGGACTATGGACGCCTTCACACCTATTTCATCCGGCGATGGCAAGCCATTAATAATGTCTACCGGAGTTTTGCCTACTCCGCTGATAGTGACATATGTAGGTCTTGGCGTTTGAGTCGGTTTAGCTGGCAATGATTTAACTATTTCCGCTATTGATTTTGGTTTTGTACCTTGTTTGTCGATTGGATTTTCCTTTGCATCAGGCTCTTTTTTGCTGGTAGCGTTGTTTCTCTTCTTTTTCCTTTTACTTACCACCACCGTGAAGGATTCAGAGGCAGCTGAGGGTCCAGCCTGATTAATGTTTTTTTCGGCTTGTGTCTGAGGTTCCTTCAAACGTTTAGGTTCTTGGTGAGGTGCTCCAATTGACGTGGTGAGTGTATCGGTATATTTTTGCTGAGATTTATCTACTAAAATTTGTTTCAATACATCATGCACCTTCTGTGACGAAAGCGTGTCCAAAATAGCCTTTTGAACTATGGCCGAGACTCCAACTTGTTCTTTTTCCTTTTTCTGATTTTCAATAATATCAACAAGGCATTGTACCTTGATATTAATCTGGTCTCGGACACTAGAGCTTAATTTTTTTCCATTATTTTCAATGGCCATTGAGATGCTCTCCTGTATATCTTTAGCCTGGCAAAGTTTGCTTTTAGTACTAGTCTCTTCCAAATCCTCTGGTAAATGAGAAGAGCCCCTCCTTGGTCGTTTTGCCACTGCTCTTGAGAAATTTCCTTCCTTTTGTACCCCCTCCATCTCGATATTGACCATAGGGTTTATTATAACTGAGATAACGTTATCTGCAATTTATAACCTTCCACTTTTAAACTATAACTAATAAAGAACTAAATGAAGTACTATATTCACCTGAAATTGTTTTCATTTACCTTAAGGGGTCTCTTAATACACTTTTAAATGTCTTATTAGAATGGGCTTGCCCGAACAGCAGGAATCACTAGTGGTAAAAGTAAAAGTCTAGTACTCTATATACTTACTAAATTTGTTCCTACACAAGCAAGTAAATAAACTATCTTCACTAGGGCTTCCTATGGTGCTTTCCACCCACTGTAGAATAGTTCACAAGAATCTACTCTGTATGAAAGTTAATGAAATGTCACACTCCTAACCTCGCTATTTATAATATTTACAATAAACTAAGCCATAACAACAAAACACATACAAAAAATAACACAAACTAACTAGAAAATTAATGAACGATAATAAACACGAAATAAACAAGAAAATAAGCACAGAAAACTAGATATTAGATAATCAGATTAGTACAAATGTGATATCACTATTTGACCTCGCATAACCTCTTTCAAAGTATAACTAATCTTCAAATCAAACATTAAATTCTCATATTCCTCCTTCATCAAATAGCAGTTTATTAACATCGTTCCTCCCTGATTTTCAATTCCCTGTTACTCCTCTGATATCACTTCTTATTAATTGAGTATCCAACCTCGTTCCTTCTTTATATAATCCTTAAATAACTTCAAAGAAATCAGTATCCATACTCCTTTCAAATACGAATGTTATTAAAAATCATACCGACGAACTTCTCAAACCTTATCACTTGACAAAATCGTTGATGTGAATTTGACTAACCTCCAAATATTTTTTCAAAATACCGCAATACTTGGCATACCGCGCCGACCAGTTATACGGAAGAGCACATGCCGGTATTGCTGTCATTGTTCATCAGCCTTTTTCTCATCATCTATTCCCAAAGCCTATTAATGATTTCCTGTAAGCCACCGCTGTAGTTATCAAGACTATGTTCCTCAATTACACGTCTAAATGAACTCTACTCTGACCATAGCCCTCTAATTCTCCAACTTTTACTATCTCCCATTCCCGGATCTTTTCCAACATTTTCCATTAGAAGTCTAATTAGCTGGAACCTCTTTCGTCAAATCCTTTCTGACAAAAAATAACTTAGATTATTCTTTATTAGTATTATTCAAGAAGTTTCTCCCCAATCGAGCCCTCAAGAATTCTTAATAAATTACCTCGACATCGCCGTGCCAAATCATTATGATAACATACCAGACATCCCGCAGATCGCAGCTCTTACAACTAATACTGCAAACAATTGAAGCTGAAATTAGCCGTTGATAGATTCTAATCCTTATTTACTACCAAAATAAACAAATTCTAAAATCCCATCAAAGTTCCTTATCACCTTCAACGAGATTAACTGTCTGATGCAAGCCGAGAATCGGGATGAACAGGGATATGAGCGGAAAAGTATTTATACACTGTTCGGGCTTTATCTTCTTGTATATTCTTCTACCGCCGGTGGTCTTTTACATGTGGGTCCTATGTGACCATTACTGATGTTACTTGTTGATTATAATTGTCTAACATATTGTGCCTTTATTATTCTCGAGAAACAAAACAACATTATATCCAATATATTTTAAACTAACACTGATATAATATCTCATATATTTTTTCTTGTTCTTCCCTACCTCGCATTTTAGGCTATACGCAATTTTTCCAGGTCGAAGGGTGAGGGCGGAGAATTTAAAATCCTCCCTCCCTCCCCCCCCCCCGCACCGGGACGCGAACACGTACTTTTTTTCCAATCGCTTAACTTCGGTTATCTGGTTGTCCGGCAACTCGCGGTGCTGTTGTGCACACGCGTTAGCCCATTCGGCCACCCCGCCCTTTATAGCATCATATATAAATACATATTAATTATATAAGTGGAAGTGGGGAGGGGGTTAATAATATTTTTTGCGGGGCATATGCCATCAGCCTTGGGCGCCCCTGTCATCAAACATTAATTTATTCAAAACAACTTATCTCACTAAACATATCCATCTTCCTGTAAACGCTTCTGATAACTCAAAAATAAGAAAAGAGAAATGGATTTGTGATTCATCAGCGTATGGTAGTTGGAAGCAGTGATGTATTTAATTAGGAAGATCTTTGATAAAGTAATTAAAAATGAGGTGAGAGATGCACAAACTCTGAACTACTCGAAAGAGAAGGGTAAATAAAAAAGATAGGGGTTGATTTGGAATGAACTCCTAAGATCCGATCGGTGATGAAAAATTGAAACAAAAGATTAGAGCTGCTGGAGAACGATAGTGATTTTAATTTGGTAAAAAGGATAGAATGGTCCAAGGAATAGAGCGTTAGAAAAGTCGAGAAGTATTACAGCAACCTTTTTTCGTCCACAGCCGTCGTTGGTATAAACGGAGTGAAGGAACGAATCAGGTGTACGTAGCATTGTTCGATACTGATCGATACTTTTTCCACGATACCTTACATTTAGAAATTTGTCCCCAATATTTTTTTATATCGATACTTCTTATTCGGAACTATCGAAGAATTGTATCGAAAAGTTAGGGAAAACGGAAAATCTGGAAGGAAATTAATACCTGTCCGACAGTCATTTGGCAATACTGACCGCGCATATTCCAAATCTTTTGTTCTAACTGAATATAATTGGCTACTACACGGCTCAAGGATATCACTAGTTGCTCACTCCCACTACAGCTGCTTGAGGTTTTTTTACTCGGTGACTGACGTGATGTAGTGATGCCACAACAGACAAAAATACTATTATGGAATCTGATTTTTAATCACCCCATTATTCAGCTGCTAGCTAAGATAGCATCCTGTTCAACCTTGAAATTCGTACTTATGAAACCTGTTGGAGGGCTTTCTTTATTGAACGTGAACTATGTCAATTCTTGCCTCCTCCTCCCATTATCAGGAAATCTCTCATTCAGCTAATTGGATTAATTTTCATCCCTTCTGTCTAATTTCTTTGGAAGACCTTTTTTATTTATTGAATAGAACCTTACCACGTTTATTTTAGAATAAATTGGAAGTTTATTTATCACTGCATAAATAGTTCTCACCATCTAAAAATTAAAGCACACAATGTTTAAACGGAATAATTTTACAATGATCTTTGGATATGAGCAGAAATATATTTGTACCATGAAATTAATTGGATCAATGACAAGATCAATTAATTACCTGTTTTCAGAAAGAAAAGACAAAGGGAGAAACAAGCTGAGAAGGTTGAACTGATCCACTTGACTCCTTCAGGAGCAGATAACAAGTTATACTCGGACGTGTGCTCCTTAAAGACAAAGGGTTGGTGCCCGAACTTTATCGAAACTGATTGCCCTCCAACTTGCAGAACTATAAACATAACCGTGGTGGACGACTGTGCGGCGGTCAACGGAGGCACTCCAACCAACGCCATGGAGGCACCACCCCTCACAGAGGTCCCTCAGTCTGCTCCTGCGGAGGATAAATCGAATGCGGTGGTCCAACCACAGGAGAAGGCCCAGCGCGCTTTTGCGACCAACGCGACCCACGTAGAAGAAGGCTTACAGGTGATGAAAAACCAGGAAGCACAGCTGTTGGCTGTGACCATTTTACCTCCTCCTCAAGTAAGGGTCTTCTCTGACGTTTGTCTGAAGTCAACCGAGTTCCCTTGGTGCCCACAAAGCGTAGGGTATGTCTCATGGAATAAAAAATATCTATATATTTTATATAATATATATATTTGTATATTATGTCGAAATATCTTGCAACCAGCCACTTAATTATAATAAATTTTATATTTAATTTTTTTTTCTGTTAAGCCGCATAAATACTTTATTAATAGTTTCTTTTATCTAATACAGTGTTATAAAATAAAATATAATATTAGTAATAGCATATTTCGTCCACATTATTTAATGTTTGACACATCTTGTTGATGCTTGAAACGTTTGTATGCGCACTTCTGATAATACCTCGTGAACAGCTTCTTTCTTATCGTAATCTAAAATTTTTTTGTCAACAAAAATTGTTAGAAAATGGGTGTTTTTTCATTAAATTAATTAATTTAATGAGGTATTAAAACTAATAAATACCCATTTACTTTCCACTTGAATCGTGAGATTATTTAATCGCAGAATTACAAAAAAAAAAAAAGGTGGCTTACAAAAATATTAGGCCTCTGGCAGGTAAAATCTCGTTATTTTGACATGTTGAAGTGGAGGGATGCTAAACGTCCCTATATTTTTGTAGGCCAATTTCGTTTCGATTTTGTGATCAAATTAACCTATTTTTCAAGTAGAAAGCAAATGGGTGTTCTTTGAGTACCTAATTAAATAGACGAAGTTAGGTAATCACAAGATTGAAAAAGCCTCGATTCCGAGATATTTCGTAAATAAAAAAGTTGAGTGTTGCAATGAGATGAAGCTGTTTGTCAAGTTCTAGGCAGATTTTAATAATTTGATAAAATGGAGTGTGTACCACGAACTAGTTCCTCGACACCTTTACGCCAGCATCCTCGTGGAACCTAGTTACTTGGCTCTTTTCTCTCTCAGATTGGTTATTTCATTCATCAATGTTTATCCGAGTTCGTCCTCTTTTTCGGTCTTTCTTCAAGAGTTTACCTAGCTACTCTTTCTTCGTTATTCCTCATGACATGACGGAACTATTTTCTCTTCCACTGATAAGTAGACATCTTCTCTGATGCGTTCGTTCCCGAAGCGATCTGTTATAGTTCGGCTGGTACTCTCCTTAGATAATTCATCACTATCGTACAATAGGGTTATATGGCAAAGTGAATTATATATAGTGAATTATACGACTTATTCTTACCGTATTTTCGACTTATCGTTGCCTTATTTTTTATTATATTTTATCGTTTCTTCTAAAAACTGTCTTCAGATATAGATATCTCTACTAACTCAAGGGCTTTAGCCTTACAGTTTAGTTGAAGGTCCTCAACTTCTACTCGGCCGATGTGCATGATTTTATTTCTTCATTCATGAACACTCCTTTCCAGCTCAGCTTCATATTCCGCTATCGGTTACTGCAATGCCTGTGCTGCAGGTGATCTATCTATGTTGACAGAAGCTTGAGTTAATGTCGTTCTCATATTCCATTTATTTCAAATTAAATTGACATCAATATTATTATTGCACTAATATTGGTGAAATACGATATTCACCGAAGAAAAAGACCCAGCCCATATAACATACATATGATAATCGTTTTAAAAAATAGTTTAAACCACAGCATAGCAATTAATTTGATGAACTAATGAATTAAGTCACGATAACTAATCCATCGACAATACGATCCGATTTAATTTTAACTATTCTCTTGAGACTTTGTCGAAAATACATTTCTAGTTAACATATAACTCTTACTAATGACTGCCAGCAGAGAAAACTTAATTGCTGACCCCTCGAATCTTGTGTAAAAGGTATGGTAATTATACTAAAAGTTAACTTACAACATGATTATAGTTATACATATTTTATAATTATAATATATTATGTAATTATATTGTAAGATTATAATTTTGTTTTATTATATTATTATTTTTATTGTTTTAAATGTAATGACTAGAGACTTTAATTTATTTATTTTTGAAAGATATGGAAGGTAAATATGCAATTATCAACGACATAATAAACTATTTTCTTGTTACAGTTTTTTTATTAAATATGAACATTAACATATACTCGTCATCGTGTTGCTTTTTTTCCCGAAATCGTGTTCCTTTTTTTTTTTCTTATGGTTCCTCATGTTTTTTCCGGCTTCATTTCGGTAAAAAAGAAAAACTGTGGAACTTACCATAAACACCAGTAAAGAGAATAATCAGCCACTATAAGTTTAATATTCGAAAATATATTTATTTATAATTTATATTTATATTTACAAATTTTTATTGAGGAAGAATATGTCTATAATACGTAGGTTTATTCTTTGTAAAACTATTTTTCGTTGAATTATTAATTAGAACAAATATTGGAAACTGAAAAATATATGCAATAGATAGAAAAATTGGCAAAAGTGTTATTTTATTTGATTTAGTTAATTTAGTTTTCCAACAAATAATAAGCAAGAAAATAAAAATGAAGCTTTTTAAAAACCTTTATCTCACCAAAATGACAAATGATGGTATATACCATTGAATAATTATGATTTGTTCTGGTCTTTATTCGTGAATATACGTATGGGAGAAATGTATGAGCGTCAATATATTGTTCCCCCAACCTGGAGGACCAGTGGTTATCACCAGAGGGAAATACGACTGCAAATGATGAGAGGGTATTAATGGCAATAAACATTAGATGAAGGACATTAAAAATGAAAGGTAGATTTAAAAGTCAGGTTATCTTCAATTTCACGTGAACCTTCTGCAGTTTCCTAATCATGAAAAATTAAAATATAAAACAAAGATTTGGTAGACTTTTTCATAAACTGAAATATAAATAGATCAAAATGGGGTAGAGAGATGGGTCTCAGTATTTTTTGTGTTAACATCTGATCCCGTTATTCTTCATAAACCTTAACAGTTCATAAGTCGTTGTTAAAGAATGTATGTTAATAATTACGAAAATGGAAAACTTATTCGCCGTCAGAGTTGCTAACTCGTGTTATAGGACACGTGAAGCAAATATAAACGATATGAATTTGACGATATGTATTTAAATATAACCGTTAAAACGAATGGGTTCGTAATTGAACTCCAAAGTAAAAGTGCCTAATTCCCACTCAGTGTATCAGTCGGCAAACAAGAAATTTCAGACAGAAACTAGAAGCTACTTGCGACATGAATCCGAATCAATTTGTGTAATGACCCATTAAGTGGGATCATCTGAACTGCGGTACTCGAAAGATCTTCTTGTGGAATAACCCATACAGTGGGATCATCTGAACTGCGGTACCCGAAATGCTTTTTTCAAATTTTTTTGTATACTTTTCATTATCATCAGGCCTTTCCTTTCGAAATGGCGTCCAAATGACGTGATTCGCTTTAGACTGTATCGGCAAAATGGCTGCAACGATTTAAATGAAACTTGGCTAAAGTATTCCCCTTGAAACATTTATAATTATGTATATAACATACTTTCCTGGAAACTAGCTGCATAAATTTCAGATGAATTCTGTATTTTATTTGAGGATAACTCAAAAATTAAACGTTTTTTTATTGATAATACCGGTATTTATTTGAAAGCTTCCTGAATTCCCAATAAAATAAAAATAAAAACATCCATATCGGACTATTTCTTGCAGAGATATATCGTTTTAAACATTTAGTAGTTTTTCTTTTGCAAAGACGATTTCAATTATTTTGGTTTTTGATAAATCGAATGCTTTACATTTACTGAAGCAATCGGGACTATTATTATTTGAAGAGATAATATTCATTGGAGGTTAGTGAAATGTTACCTCATAAATTAAATTTAAATGTAAATGCTATAGTTGTGCTCATTCTTAACTTAAATACTGCACAAACATTAGTTAACGGAATAAGAATGAGAGTGAATTACTAATTGGAACTACTTTAAATAAAAGAATTTTAATTCCAAGAATTAATTTAACAATTTCTGAGACAATACTTCCATTCGAATTTCATAGAACGACGTTCGTATTAATAGCTCCAGGGTCGAAGTTTAGGAAAAATTTGAGTATTATTGCCAAGTCCAATAATTTCGCATGGACAATTATATGAGGCAGCAAGTAAAGCACATAGAATAGAATAGAAGAATCAACTTTATTCTGGGCCAAAGTCCCTTGCTAATAACAACATTGTACATAAAAATTAACATAACATGCATGTTATGTTGCTGGCCAAAATGCATGTTACAATAAAAAAATAAATAAAAGAAGTATTTACATAACTATACAGAAATATTAAAGACATAATATGAGCAATAAGGTCTTAATACTGCAAAATAGTTGCTATAAACAATAAACTATGGAATTCTAAATGAAATTTGAAATGAGTGGCAAATTACTTTCGTTGTCATACCATTGTTTTAATGAAAAAAATAATAAAAGAGTGGATAAATATTTACTTTAAATGATTTACATATGTACCTTAACATGTTCAAAGAATACAATAATAGTATTGTAAACATTATACAAGTCATATATAATCTAAATCCTAAGATGTTGATTGATCGGAGAACAAATAAAAGATAATAATAAATATAGAGGAGATTATATACATATATAATATACAAGATAAATGGCTACCCCAGCGTCTGAATGAATTGTAAGGAGGAATAAGAGGGTTTTAAATATGGATAAGGATGGTGCATGGCGAATTTTAAGTGGGATGGAGTTCTATGCTGGAGCCCTGTGCCACTCCTGAGGACAGAGTTAGATAGGATGATAAAGATTGGTTGGAAATAGAGACTGCTTGGGCACGTTGAGAGAGGAATGATTGAAACCAAAGGATAGAGCTGTTGGAAAAGGATAACGATTTCAATTTGGAGAAAAGGATGGAATGGTTAAGCGTATCATACGTTTAAAATTTTGAAATTTATATTCCCAATGGAAATGGGCAAGGGCTGTGTACTAAACAATAACAGAACATTCAAAAAGAGCATTGTTTACAGAGAAGTTCTACGAAAAAATTTATTTAAACTGAATTGCAATTGCTAATTTAAATTTATTTTTTACTTTCTTAATCATAACATTAATTTATTGTGATAATAACACACATAAATTAAAATGGCAATTAAATATTTTTGAATGCGTCTATTTTGTATACTTATAAATAATTTTAAGTAGTTTAAGCACGACTTTTAATTGAAATTGAAATTTTGTTTTTATTAATAAGTGAGAATTTACTCTTTCGTAGTATCGTTTGATCGTGATTTACTCTTTATTTATTGAATTTATTTTTTATTTAATTATATTTTTTCCTCAAATTTTTAATGATTATGAATGGTGAACACTAGTTAACTCAATCGCGCTGCGCGAAATGTCTTCTTATTGTCCTTGGAATTCCTGGTATCAGTGGCCGTATACCAACATTTGTCAATTTTATTTACTTTTTCATTTACTTCCTTCCAGATCGACGGTCAACCTAACAGAACTTGTAAACTGCAAATTTTATAGTTTAAAATAAAATAAGCTTTAAGCTATTGTAATTCCTCATGTTATTCTTCTTCATTAGTTTGTATATTTAATAATTTATATTTCTATATGAAAATCTTTTAAAGCCTTTGTACAATACTTAGATTATTTATTTGTCAACAGTTTTCAACGCTTATTTAAATTAAAACTTACATCTCTGAAGTAGAAACCAATTGAAAATAACATTATAATTAAATCAGAGAGAAAAACTTTTAAGCATAGTAGTGTCAAGTTAAGGGAAGGAAGCTTTTAAGGACCTCTATGTGTCCCCTACCTTTTAAGTTTCGGATAAAACATTTATTATGGCCAATTACTGAAGGCCAAGTTGAAGATGAGTGAGAGGAAAAGAGCATAGAGGAATAGTGGCCAAGGTATAATTATTCCACATGGAGAGTTAAATTAAAATATTTTTAACGCTGAAAAACTTGTTTCGTAAGTATTAAATACCTATATTTCTTTAAATAGCTAAAAACATACCGTGCACTTAACCATTTTTATCAGTAAAAAGTTTTTTCTTTGTTTTGTTTTATTATAGTGATTGGTTATTTTGATTTTTTCAAATAAATTTTAATGTTATTCAGTTGAGTATGTGAAAGAGGCATGTATAATCGGAATTTAACGGGAACCGCGAGGCAACATCGATATAGTTTCAATGTTATAAACTTGTATCTGTGTATAGATAAATATATCATCGCAATTAAAATTATTTCATAGAGCGTCACCTGGATAATATAGCCAGAATCAAAATTACATTATATTATTTCTTTAGAAAGGATTCACATGATGGCAACCAAAATTTTTATCAAAAGTAAGTTTTTAAAACCAATAGTAAAATCAGACCAATGAATGTTGTTGAGTTATGTTATTATATTATTAGTTAATGTTACAACAGTTTTAATGTGTGTTATAGCATACTTATTATATTAATCCGTGGTATAAACCCCTTTTTGTGACCCAGAAACTTTGTGAGTAGCATCATCTCTTCTTAATCTACAGCTATTTTATTTACGAAAATTCTTGGAATTGGAGACGTTTTCAACATGGAGATCGGCAAACTTTGTCTATTTAATTAGGTAATAAAAACTCGTAAATACTCATTTGTTTTTCACTTGATTCGTAAGATAATTTGATGAAAAATCGAAAAAAAAAGATGGCCTAAAAAATATTCGGCCGTTTGGCATGACCTACACCCCAACATTTCAAAATAACAAGGTTATATACGCCAGACGGCCCAACATTTTTTTGGCCACCTTTTTTCTCGATTTTGTGATCAAATTATCTTACGATTAAAATTTAAAGTAAATGAGTATTTGCGAGTTTTTATTGCACAATTAAATAGAAGAAGTTTGCCGATCTCCAGATTGAAAACGCCTCAATTCCAAGAGTTTTCGTAAATAAAATAGTTGTAGATTACGATGAGATGAAGCTATTCACAAAGTTTCAGGCGGATGTTAATAATTTCATAAAAATAGGTATATACCACTGACTATATTCCATGACAGTATAATAGCAATTTATACGATATAATCAATAAAAGCCAATAATTACATTGTGGTTGATAATTTTCTGCAAGGAATTCAAATTCATATTATTTTACATTTATGTTATCATTCATTCCCACAGAGAAGTATTCGAATGCTCAATTCCGACATGTATCACGATAGATGAATGTGCTCCTCCGACGTATAAAGGTAGAATGCGGCGAGAAGAGCCGAAACCGAGGCACTTGCAGATCAGAATGAAATCCGGCAGGAAATTCGGCCCCAAACGGATCTTCAGGAAAAGAAAGCGCCAGGCTCTTTCCAACTATAGCTTTCTAAATTTCCCGAGGAAGGTAACTGAATCGTTTAATTTATAAGTAGTATAAAAGCTTTCAAAACAGGTTTTGATTAATCCAGGAAAAAAAACTGCCTCAACACTACAATTTACATGCTTAAAAATTTCGTCAAAAAACTCTAAAAATTATAATACATTTTATTTTTTTAACTTTTATCCAAAATTATGGACTTCAGTCGTTTATAAAATTAACTGGGTTATATAAAAAAATTGGAAGAAAACATAAATTCACTAATTATTTTTTTTATAACAACAAAACAGGAGTTTTCCTTAAGTTAATAGCTGAAAAAAAAAAGTGGACGGTCTTAAAACAGTATTAAAAAATAGTGAAACTAATAATTAGAATTTGTGTATTTATTTTTTTATTGTTTTGAAAGAGAGCCCTTAATAACCTTTTTAGATTATTAAGTACTCCTCCCTATATGTTTTAATGTAGTGTTCTGGTTTTTGCTTGCATACCCATCTGAAAAAATAAACCATCACTAATATTTTTTTAAACAATGTTTTTAAATGTTAAAAAATTTATTAAATAAAATAAAAAGTCTGCCTTTCAAAAATTCAATGTAACACCTCTTGTACATGAATAAATCGGAGAGAAAGGTTTTGAAAGAAATCTGTAGTCATTTATGCTACATTTTAATTTGGTAGAAATCAATATTTCAAAAAACTTCCTTTTTTAATGCATCGAATCGTAATGAAAAGTTTTCCTGGAAATAGGAAATATGATATAATATAATATAAATTAAAAATCCGAGACTTTTTAAAAAAATATTATGCATTTTACAAATATCTAAAAAGATCCTAAAGTACTCATTTTCATTATTTCTATATCTGTTTTTGTTGAATGGAAATCTTTAATATTGTATGTATTTTTATAGATTTACTGAAAAGCATTTCGTTTCTTTTTAATTTCCGACCTTTTCATTCTTCAGCTAAGTCATTATGAAGCAGCGAATTGCCTAATCGTGTAACTTGCTTGAATGTTTTTTTTATTTATTTTTTTATTACAATTCAGATATAGAATTATAGTGGTGATTCTTATTTGGTTTGTGCGAAAAAATTCATTCTTCATTCAGTCATTCATGGTCTGTCCAATCATTCCTCTCAAAATTGAACATTTGCTGCGTACAATTTGTTTATTCCATTCCATCTCGATGTATTTGGAAAATTCCTCTGATTCTGTTTCCTCTAAAAGTATTCTTGGATGTTTTAACAGGCCATCAAATTTGGTGAATCCAATGCATTTTCTTTAGCCCAGCTAAATCAACACAAAAAAGGGGTAATTGTCGGGTAATTCAAATTTATTTTTGATATTGTTAGATATCTAGTGAAAATAAAAAATCCAAGTTTTCGCCTTTGAAAATCTTATGGACTCCCTGCAGTACTCCAAAAGCCATTGAAATTTCTTCTTTTTTTTTTAATATTTCCGTTTTATTAAAGCGGCGTAGATAAAAAATGGTTATATTCAATCATAAATAAAATAAATAAAAAATAACATTTTTTTCTAATCCCGTCAAGAAACGAACGAACTATCGAACTTTCAAAATGGGTGAAGTTTTGAAAATTTAAAAAAAAAAACATATAATTTCAAAGAATTATCTGTTTTTATAGGTGACGTAGCTCAAAATTTTTAATTAAGTCCTAAAGCAGACTAAAGAATTTACTACAGCTTTTATATGAAACCTATTTTCTAAACATTGAACAAGTTAAATACAAATCACTATGAAGAAATTGATGTTGATTTGAAATTAGAAACAATCCTTATCATTTTTTTTTTTTTACTGTTTTCAGTTTTTTTAATGAAATTGATCATCAAAATTACTGTTTTTCTTATTAATTTTATATGTATTTTATTCTAACACATTTTTAAAAAATTAATATTATTGAAATAACATACCCTTGTTTTGTTGGGGATTGTTAACATTTCTAGACTGTTCGATTTCTCCACAATAGTGATCTTTCAGTTTTAAAGGGCACAAGCACAGGGGCTGTGAGTCCTATTATGTTGGCTCGTTCATATTATGTATATATATTTTTTTTATAAGACAGACAAAGATTATATGATTCAATTCCGGAAAGTACATAAAATTTAACTAATCTCGAAATTTAGGGTTTATGATTCCAATGCGTTATGATTGGAAAAATTCCAAACCGCACAACGTTATGGCTCAAAAATGCGGACAAAGAAATCAATAAATAATCTCAAAATCAATAAATGTATTATTTTAAAATGTTAATTTTATAAATATTACTGAATTAAGTTGTATTATTATAAATGCATAATTTTTACTATTCGACTTTATTAAATCCATCTTAAATGTCCTAGAATATAAGAATATCGGAAGTAAAAGAAAAAAAAATTGTTTTGGACAATTGAATTATCGTATTAATATTTGTTGTTGTTTTGGGTTTAGGGGCAAAAAACTGCTGATGGTTATCATTGCCCTCAAAATAGTACTGATTGATTTATTTTTCAATCTTAAAACTACTATTACAAAAATAAATATGTTTTAAAAAGGAATAAAGAAAATATATACATAAATTACTATCGAGGAGAAAAAAAAAATAAATAAAAATAGTATAGAGTTTAGTATTAATATTTGATCGATCATACAATCAAAATAATGTACTGAAGGCGTTATTAAAGCACTATAACTATGCTATTTATGAGTACCGAATGGTGTCGCATAGGACTCCAGACGCATAAGCCAGTGTCGCTTTTTCGTCGATTAAGTGTATTTTCTATGTAATAGCTTTTAAATATTTTAAAAAGGAATGAGTGTTTTAGAAAGAGAAATGAATTATCCAGATTTTTTTTCGTTATTGTTCGTCGTTTATTTACAAACGACTCTTGATTTTCAACTTTAGTTTGAACAACTTGAGAAAATTAAATTTACTGTGCAATAAACTTTTTTATTGCCAAAGCCGTTTCATTTTAATATTTTTTCACGTTTTATTATTATTTATCTATCCACATTTAATAAACGCCAATAATGACGAAAATGCTGAATCTCATTGATCGAAAAATTAATTCAAATCAAAGACGTCAATACGCCATGTTTGGAAGCCATTTTGGGACAGTGCGACCACCTTTTTTTTAGAGAACGTTGGTTTTTTTTTTAACGAGGAATACAAATATATGGAATTTATTGGGATTTGAGAGAAGGATGCACGGTAGGGGTTATGGCTTCCTGTGTGACATAAGTTTCAAAACACCTCCCGATTACCGTCTACCCTTCCAGTCAATGTCTCATTATCTTCAATAAAACTTACAAATCCTCTAGACAAAGTTTCATATGGAGTTACAGAATTCTTCTGTTCAAAACTGAAAAAGCATTGTTGTGTAGAAATCGAAATGGGTAAACGTTGAAAGCTCGATAGTTCATTTCCTGTTAGTTTCGAAAATGTTATATAATTTTAAGTTGTTTAAGAAAACCTTATTTAATATAACCTTATTTGATCTATGTCGCTCTAAAAAGAAAATATATTGATGTTTTGAGCACTGCAGCGAACCCACAAGGCTTTCAATAGCGGAATCTAGGATTTTTCATATTCACTAGATACCTAAGAATCCAAAATAGAAATTGGAATTATCCGATCTTTTGCAAATTAACATGTCTAATTTTACTAGTATTCGTCCAAGAATGCACCTCTGCATCTTTTTCTCTGACGAATATCATAGATTGCTTCAAAATTCAGAAAAAAAACATTATGTTTATCCTGGGGATGAACAACATGCGTTCCGCCATACTCTCTTACTTCTCTATTTCTCAAAGATTATCTATATCAACTTTGCGCAAAATTCCTAGTTTTTCGCAGCTTTATTGTGAATTATGCACATGAACTTCATTTTCGGAATTGATGGTCATATACACAATGCCATGATAACAAACAATAATTTTTTTTCAAATATTGACCGTTAAATTACCGTGAATATGGTTATTTAATTAACAGCATACGATAAATTTGTTGTTTTAGTAAAGAGTCTGCTTTAAAGAACATAAAATTAAAAAAATATATCCAATTACTTGGAATCACTTGATCAGACTTGAGTGACTTTAACAACGAGTTTCAAGAAAAAAGCCAATTTCTTTATAACGTATCAAAATTTGTTATATGTTGTCAAACAATTCATCACATTTATTAATTTCATCCCTACCTAGCTAATATGGCAACTATACGAACGGGATTCGACAACTATAGTAATACCACTGCTGCCTATATTCTCCGTTTCATTTATGGTTTCTTACTATCTTCTAGTTCCTTTATTCGATCTGTTATTATGGTTCTTGTGAGTCCGGCGGTCTACCTGGTGCAGGGCCTCGTATTCTTCTTCTTCGGGTTTCGAAGTAATCGTAGGCCGGTCCCACCGCTACTTTTCATCCATAAATGAGTTTTTTGAACCATGGAAAATTGTCCTCAATTAATAATCTAGGAAACTTATTTTCAGTGAGAACGTAGATTCCCGCGACTCTCATTAGTGTGGCATTTAAGACAAGGAGCAAGTCGTGACCACGTGCTCTACAGTTCCCGGAACACCACAGGTTGCAGATAGAGGATCTATATCGATGCCAATGCTGTGAAGCTTCTTCTTCGTACAAAGGTTTATTTATTATAGGTCTAAGGAAGTTGCGAAACTATGGTTTCCATTATGTAATGTCTGGTGTGGACTTATGTCTTCCTTCTAAGAAGTGTTATCTTGATTCTCATTTTATTGGCTTATAGCAATATCGTGTTTGCTTAATTTTCAAGATTTCCAACAAGCATCTTTTTTAAAGTTCGGAAACATTCCGGCAATAGCCACAAAATATGCATGAGCAAGAAGCCTCGTAGTTTTGTTAAATATTGTTCGCCTCCTAACTAGCTCAGCTTTGTTTGGATGTTCGCCGTGGAAAGCTGTGTTAAAGAGGATAGAGCGCTGAATGTCCCAGCCTGAGCCGATTCCGAACATTAAGAGGATCAGAGATATTCCAAAAACACTCCATACTTGACATTATG